ACCTTTGTAGTCATATGAGCTTGGGGTAGCTGTAGTAGTTAGTGGTAAGAGCAGAATGAGAAAAGGCGGTGTGACAGGCAGAAGAGCGTGCCTGATTGGACGCTGAACATGGGCTAAAGTCGCCTACTAGCGGCACGTTAGAACTATTGGTGAAGTGAGGAAATGCATCATGACCATGCACATACACATTTAGTTCCTTCAACGCATCGTTCCTGCGCGTCCGTCGCATTCGACGTCTATTCAATAGAAGAGACGCAGTTTTGTCGGCGCCTTAACACACCGCCAGGTGGTGATTTTATCTCAAGGGTTGGCTTTGCTATAACATCTGTCCATAGCAGAAAAATCTCTGCAACGCTTGCTGCTTCGCATGACTTTCCGACTACAAAGACTACATATCATAGGTAATAAGATTTTTCTATCGCAAGCTGACACACGGACACAGAGTAAGAATGACACTAGTGATATCAACTGTGTCGTTCCCTCTCTTTGCCTGTGTCTCAATTTGCGCTAGAAAAAAGACGTTACGATGTGTACGTGCCAAGTAGCTCATCTTTCAGTATTACTACAGGGACTGCCCGGCCAGAGGAAAACGCAACGTGCATTGTGTCTTCCACGTTCACCGGCCGCGATTTTTTTCACGGAGCGAGCGTGAGGGACGTTGTGTTACAGCCAGGCGAAGCAGGCCCGTGTTGCAGAGCTACTTTTGGTATGGATGGATAGTATGAGCTAGGCTGACCCTCAGGTAACCTGCGATAACAAAAGCAGTTTATTCTTTTTGTCACGTATTCGTCCTAATCTTTTGCAGTTTATTACCTACCCGTGGTCGCGTGCACTTGGCAACTGTTGAGCGTATATCCTTGCAAAATGCAAGCATGGTTGCAGCCTACTGTGCATGCAAGATGCATGCACAGTTGTGTCTTTTTAACAGCGAAGCGTTTAAGCTAGCCGCAGAAAGCGCACTGTGACGCAATGCCAGCCAGGTTATAGTCATAGCAGCTAGCAATGCCGCAGCTCACCGCAGCTGATGTGACGTCACGCTTCTCTTTTCTCAACAATAGTGCTTCAATCTTGCAGTAAAGGTTTTACTGCGCGTATTCGAGGCAGCGTTGCCAGCGATAAGCCACGCCCACCAATAAGGACGCTGTGTGTAGCTAGGGCTTCCGCCACCATTCCCAGACTGCTTTGCGAGCCCACAAACGGCTCCGCCATCTGCGCGTGGCTGCGCATGTGACGGCACGTTACCGCTGCGTGACTCAACTTAGCTTCGGCCACCCACACCGACATTACGTGCAGCCGCTCTGCTTAGCCAGTCGTGACGAAAAGATTGGCCGAGCTTGCGGGGCCACCTCTTATGGGGTCGAGTAAGACTAGTTTGCCTTGGCCTTGCTCAACGTGAAATTGCTCGAAAGCCACACCGCGGCCATTTGGATATGCTTAACCGAGACGTGGAACAGCCGCATGCAGATCTATAATTGCAAATCTTGACATAAACCCTAAATGCCGAGACTAGCTATGTGTTGATTAGCTTCACTGTGTTTTATACCACTTATATATACCTCTTTTTTACAGTTACATGCCACTTTTTATGCTAACTGATTTTTTTCTGTTTACGTACATATGAATTACCATTGCCAAAAAGGCGTTCACGTTCATCCTGCAATAAATACATTAGGACGATATGTACAGTCACTCCTAATATAAGTTGTAACATGATGCCCGAGGTAAAAGCGGGGCCAACTCTGTAAGATGGCGTCGCCGTAAACACTCGGTCTACTGCTGCGTTCCTAAAACGACGTTCACGGTTCTCGGGCCTAAGGTACGGGCATGGGTCCCCTTCAGCCATCGACACCAAGTTAAAGCTTATGTTGAGCGCCACTTTACATATCTTGTAATGAATCTGAATGACGGACGCACTACTGGGTTCTCTCATTTTAGCCTCCTTTACGGACGCGAAACTTCTTGCACCATGGACACCATTCTTCGTACAGACCAGACTCCTCAGGATCCATGACTCTGTTTGAAGCCGCTACATACGCTGAAGAGTGCCGCCAACTGGCAAGATCATTCACAACCCAAGACTAAGGACGCCAAAAGCACCACCATGACGCATCAGTTAACACTACTTCCTTCGATCCAGGATCGCTCGTCTGGCTGCATGTCCCTTCTGCTACATCTGGCATTTCTACCAAGTTGGTCCCCAAGTATTATGGCCCATATCGCATATACTACAAAAAACGTCACCGGGGAATTACCTCATCGAGCCACTGGAACCGTCTTCTGACCAATCTCGTCGTGGCCAGGAAATTGTCCACGTGTCGAGACTTAAGCACTGCTACGACCCTCCCGAGTTTACTTGTCCATAATGTCACCAGGATGGCTCCTTATTTCGCGGGGAGTAATTGTAATGAATCTGAATGACGGACGCTCTGCTGTTATGGAAAAAGACGATGACGATCAGTGACTGTAGTAGTAGTTCGTGCACGCCGCTCGCTGGGGGCCAGACCTGCGTCATAAAGCACCTTTCGCCAAGCTGCGCCTGGACCTTTCTCGACGTACAACACCTCTAATTTAATCTAAATGTGGAAGCCGACACTACTCTAACTGCTTTTATTTTATTTTTTTCCACGTCTTCATGGTCCATCCACTTATTGTCATCAGGGCTTAATCCGCATTAACATCGGCATTCACCGAATGAACTGTTCTTAAATGAACTACTCCACCTCAAATTGTCCACTTCTGTCATCCCTGCGTCACCTAGTCGTTTCCTGCGACCCGTCCCATACCGCGCGGGTTTTCGCAGAAGCCAGCATCTCGCATCCAGGTCATTTAAAGCCGACATGCGAAACCGTCCAGGAAGTACGCCATATCAACTGACTTTTTTTTAATTATCCATGACACTTTCTACTGCTTTGGCTATTCCGAGCCATTGGAGACGTTGTACTTTTCGGAGACAATGGGGGTCGCTAATTAATCTTCGTCTTAAAATGTCAAGTGGGGGAATAAAAATTTCTTACTTGCATATTGAGTAGTGCTGGACACTCCACTCAGGAAGCGAGCAAATTGTGCATTTAGCAGGAGCAATATGTTTTCGTTTGTTTGTTTGAAAGACTAGTAAATCATTTTCAAATAAATATTTCATGAAATAGCCGTCAATTAATTTTATTTCCAATAAAAATTCGTGAAAAAACTACTGCTCTATTAGCAGCGTTAGTTATTTGTCTACGAAGCTCTAGTCAATGTTTCTAAGAGATTGATAAGAGAATCTTTAGATGGCTGATCAAGAGACTGAATGGTCTTGTTCGCACTGACACCGTTTGATTGGTAAGTAGTCAAGTTACTTTATGTAGTAGCATTGAAATTTCTTAGTTACTTCTTTGGAAAATTTTTCACGCTATGCTCACTCCGATCGCTTCAATAGCAAGGAGACCTGATTGCCACCATTCGTCATCAAAAAAAAAAAACTGCATAAGGTTAATGTCACTGGCAACCATATTTTTACGAGACATAATTCAGGAGAGAAAACGAGATGCGGAAAGCCCGAGAGGTTAAAGGGAAAGCAAATTTGTGGTTTTCTACCCTGCACTGGGGAAGGGTGAATGAGAAAAACAAGACCAAAGCTTCAATAGGGAGGGAAGCTGAGCTAGTTGGTTGATTGATCAGCATACTTCATGTTGCCTTTGTTTTAATGCGTGCACGTCCACACCACATGTATGAGTGTCACCTGATATGAGCAGTGCTTGCACCTTGGCGCTATCTGTTCCGAAAAGATTCCCTCTTCCGTGCCTCCGAGATAGAAGACCAGCGCTGGCTAATGCAGCGCGTGGTGGAGGCTGCGGTATCCCAAGGGATCCCCGCTGACCTTCTCTGAAATAGCGCAACCCGTCTCTGTACTGGTCTCCTTCATTTTTTTCTTACTTTTTCTGTGGAACGAAAGACATGACCATCACCACAGAATACTTTATGGGTGAAGTGACGAGTGTTGTCATTCGTTTCCCATTCATCCTGTCCAAAGTACACTTCTTCACCTGTAAGATATGACCAACTTCATTCATAAATCTATTAACCAGCTGCAATAACCTTACCATTATTTCAGCATTGCTTGCTCGAACCTTTTGTCATTGGGTGCGTGTCTTTGGATTGAACCAGTCTTCTCGAAGAATTGGATGCATGTGTAAAGGTTCACCCTATGCCAACTTTTTAACCAGCATATGCGCAACGTTGCAGGTGACGTTAGCTTATTTTCAATGAACAACAACCAAGACCTTGTAAAAACAAGGGACACATTTTTCGTAACACTTGGAATCTAAACCGAACAAAGGAAGCGGTCATAGTATGCAAATCTTTCAATCGGTGAGGCCCAAGCACAGTGGCACAAGGTACTAATTGATTACTTCATTAAACGACAATGGTGGTTTTGGGACGTTAAGCTCCACATACTAATCAATTAATCATTCATTCAACGACAAGATCTGCTGTCAGCCCCTAATGCACGTAGAAACAAACTAGGCTGCCGCACTTGCTGTGCCAAAACCAGCTGACGAAACTTCGTGACACATGGGAAGTCATGAGGAAGCGTCGATTGACTTCACGTGGCCTTCCTAGAACTTTCATTGTGCGAAAAAAAAAAGCTTGTCTACCGTCGCCAGAGACACTTCGTAGTTCTTACCTTTTCTGAGGCCTGTCGTAGCATTATAAAGTCTAGATGACTCCAACTAACAAATTCTTTATAGTTCCTCGTTTATGGACACGTGCTTCATCACTGCTTTTTTTCTCCCACATACAAAGTGGGATATGACCATTTGAATACCGCTAGTTAAGCACAAACGCAGAGCCAAACGAGACAATTTTTCTCTTTGGCTTTATGAAGTTTCACCGCGTGATCTGCACTTGAATTGGCAAAGCGACTTGTGACGTTGCCTTTTTATGACCTCTGCTCGTGTTGTTTGAAGGTGAACAGACGCGATTTACAGAAATTCCGCTACCGGTTTTTTGGTGCGCCATAAAAACGGAGTGATCACATCCGCAAAAGGAAGCAAGCGAACCCCATGTGCATTCATATGGAAGCGGGAAATTGTCTTCTGGTGTGGGTTACCTGCAGCGCTTTGATAAGTAAGAACGTTGCTTATTTGTTTCATATATGAAGTGTGGAATTCCTTATTATTATCATTACCTACCGTATACTTTTTTTTATTTTTTCACTAGTTGTTATGGAGCAGCTGTCTGAAGTGATACTACTTGAAATGAAAGAAACCTGCATGCATCCGGAATGTCACTCTTGTTGCACACTTGACATAAACGTGACCCTGCAAATCTCAAAATATGGCTCATCGTCAATTTAAAAATGCAAAGTTCTTATTGTTACCTTGCAGCATACTTTCATACTTGATTCCTACATTGACCTTTGAGCTTTTTTCGGTCGCATTTTTTTTAGTTGCCTCGAGTTGAACACAGTGTGTGTCTGTTCTGTTTTCAAAAGAATCCACAGTATGATTCTTACATGCAGCTTTTGCAAACGTTATCACTGTTCAATTTCTTTGTTAATGCGTCGAAGCAGGCTTCTTAAGGCAAAATAATCAATAGATATCATTTAGAATACACCGTTCCAATACTTCGCAAAGCTTATTAGAGCACTGTGCTTCACCTCGCAAGCTATTTACAATAGGGTGAAAGCTAAGGGTTGTGAACAAACCGCATGTTTGCGCCGCAAAACATAGTTATCTTTGTAAGTGCATCATGAGAAAAGAGAGGTTAAAAATTGGTGTTTTCATGGCACAGGCTACCTTGCAAAAATATGCAATAAGCTAATCACCATTGACATGTAGGTCATGAGAATTCAATTATTGCATCGGTAACTGTCCGTGATTGCGATGTCGATACATTCCAGCGCCCATGCAGACGTTATCACCCGCTGCGATCAGAACTCGTGCTTGCTGCTTGTCCTTTATCCTGACAGCAGCCAGCTCGTGCAATGCACTAGTCTTGCATTTTCTTGCAGTCCAAACCTATATGAGTCCATCACTAATAACCCTTTTCATGACTCTAATACCTTTCTCGAGCATATATTAGCGAGTGACAGCCGGCAGTTTACCTATAACGTGCCCTTAATATTTCAGTTGTCACTCACCAGGAGTTCATAGACCTCGACAGCATTACAGTTTACCCTCAAGTGTACGAGGAAAGAGATGGTGACTCTGAAAAGCTACTTTCCATACATCCTGGATATTCCCTTCAGTTGAGGAAAGCTTCAGTGCTAGCTGATACACTTTTGGTGCGAGAATTGGCAGAAAGCGGCATCGTCGAGAAATACGTAAGTAGAGGTTTTCCTGTCACAGTCATTTTATATTGACACGCTGGCGAACACTGGCTCTTGAGCTGAAACTTCGTCAAAGTGGGTCTGTTTTGTTAATAGTCGAAGGAAGGACTGCCACTGCGTCGTTTGTAGTTCTTGCCTTAAAAAAACTTCACTAGCTCAAAATTACTCTGGCACCTTTGGCTACTATCTGTTTCATAAATCTATTGCTGTGTCTATAAAGCTCAAGAACACTTTTAGGAGAGGGGTTTTGATAAAACAAAGAATTACGAGGTACAAAAATCTTTCAAGCAAGCAGCCCAAATCTCGCATGAATGCGACTAAAGCCAGCATCTTCGAAAGAAAACTTGGTGAATCAGTGCCTCGTGTTTAAAAACCAAGAAGAAATGGCGACTTTGCGTCTTGTTCAACAAATGGACATTGTCAAAGGTATTTCCTTTTAACGTTGCCTGCACTAAAGATAAGTTAATCGTAGAAAACTACTGGAGAAAAATGTCTGATGAAGACAAGTCTCACTGAAGCCAGTGCAGGGCGCTGAAACGCAGACAAAGCAGTGGTGGAAACTGTGGGTGTATGCTCCATTATGCAAACACAGAATTATGTGCAATGGTGCCTCTGACGAAAATCCACGTTCAATGAAACCGGCTCGTGCGTCTTGAGGGGATGGTTGGGTTAGTGTATGCAGAAAAAAATTGCACGAAATATCAAAGGACACCACAAAGAATCAACAATAAACAGATTGAGCCCTTCATCTGTTTAGTGTTGCTTCTTTGTGGTGTCCTTTTCTATTTAGGCGCAATTTTTCCGGCATAGAAAGGTAACGCCTTCGCGTATTTGCCTTCCCCTGCAAATAATCTCTTCATAATGTCACACTTTCAAGATTTCCAGCTTTGCATTATATATTCGTGAAGTGGAACCATAAGTCTGATTACCAATGTGAATTGTTGGATCAGGGAACAAACGGGGGTTAAGCATATCATAGCTGCAATCAAGAAGAAGAAATGGACATGGGCCGGGCATGTAGCGCGTAGACAGGATAACCGCTGGTCGTTAAGGGTAACTAACTGGATTCCCAGAGAAGGAAAGCGGGTTAGGGGGAGACAGAAGGTTAGGTGGGCAGATGAGATTAAGGAGTTTGCGGGTATAAATTGGCAGCAGCAAGCACAGGACCGGATTAACTGGTGGAACATGGGAGAGGCCTTTGTCCTGCAGTGGATGTAGTCAGGCTGATGATGATGATGATGATGATGATGATGATGATGATGATGATGATGATGATGATGATGATGATGATGATGATGATGATGATGATGATGATGATGATGATGATGATGATGTGAATTGTTAAAGGCAACCTTATTTAGTAGAGTGTATGCTCTTGAGATGCAATGCTTTTATATGTGGATGGCACTTGCTGTTGCCAGTTCTTTTGGAGCAGTGGCGAAGAAAGCGTAAGTTGTATAGCTCATAAAATACATGGAACTTTCCGCATTATGACTGTGAGGTCACTTAACCACAGTGGCTGTAGCCCATCGCTTTGGCGAAGGTACTTTCATGTTTCTCCTAACGTAGAACGTGCCGAAGCACAGGACCAGCGTAAAAAGTACCATATTTTCCCCTCGAAAGACAGACTTGAAGGTCGATTGAGTTTCTCAATCAGCTTTTCAATTCAACAGCGTTATCGAGCCCCCATGCGCACTGCCCTGGGATTTGCTATAACCTGGTTTCGGTTCTGGGAGAATGTGTCAATTCTATGTATAGAACGAACGTTTGCCGTAAAATAATTCTGTAACGAAACGAGCTTGCAGCATTCACTGTTTCTAGCAGTCCTAGATATTCCAGTGTATACGTACAGTTGTTAAATGCCCTGTACGCTAATACTTTTTTTCTTTTGTGAATCAGCGAAAAGCCCACTACGCATTCATACTGTGACACGCGAAGCTACGCAGATTTTTTTCTGTGTTGAAGAATTACTCCGCAATACCCTTGTGTGTTAGAGCAGGAGAGTTTTACAACAGGGATACAAATTAGTCTTTGTTTGCACAACATCCGTGCTTTTCAGAAAACTTGTTGCAATCTCCTACACACTTCGTAAAAAAAAAACAGTGAACATGCACGTCCTGGCCTGGTATTCCCGATTTTGAGTTTGTGATATTCGCGTTTAAAAATATACAAAGGTGTCTTTAAGTAATTATCCTTTTTTATATCTACTTTGCTGTTATATATCTGAAAAAAACTGTTTCAGCCTCTGCTTCTGTCGGCACGAAAACAACTCCCAATCGAATTCTTGTTTCGTCATTGTGGCATTGTTCTACGGTACCTACCCAGGACATGCCTGGCGGCTCTTTTTTGAATACTTTTCATCTGAGAAGTGATTGGCTTCCGATGAATCCCATAGTGGGCAGGCTTACACATTGGTCTACACATGCAGTAAACGCATCCCGTTATAATTCTATCTCTCGGCATGCTTATTCTCTTCAAGCTTTCGCAGCTGGCGATTAAGTATGTCGGATCACGCACATTGTAATGGGTGGGCCTTCAAAACACCCGCTCGCTGCACTTCACACAGTTTGACGCCTGGCGCGATTCCACGCTTATACCACGTAATCGTCTGTACACTTAGGAGGCTCCTTCAACTACATGGCATTCATCTATCGTTTCTGTTTCAACGCAGTTTTAAGAAGGAGCGTATCTCTGCGGTAAGAGAAGTTGTCACGCAGGCGCCCTGGTTTGATTCTCACTCTAACCCAAGATTCGTATGTCAAAGACATTTCATGGGATACTTAGACGCAAAAATTTTGGTCTGTCTGTCTGTCGACTTGTTTGTCACACGAAAAGGCTTGTTTGTTTGCATTTCATTCTGCTTGCATTTTGTTTCCCAAAATCCAACCACATACAGCACCCACCACTATTGCTCTCGCTTCTGCGTACATGCTTCTGCGTAGTACTGATTAAAAAGTGAATTTATCGCATATCTGAGACAGATCATCAACACGCCAATACTCTGTGACATGTTTCTTTGTAGTATAAAAATTAAACATAAGTAATTCTAAAGAACGTGGCGCTTATTACGCTAAGCTGACTATTGCGACGCTATGCGCGGAAGTGCGGTTGTTTCCTGCGCGTTGCTAAGACAATACGGTGGTGGCACCTACCCGCTGTGCCCATCGAGGCACTTTAAAGCAACGCCCCCAGGATCCCATTCAATGGTTTTTCCGCGCCGGACATCAAATAAATGTTTAGTTCCCTTTCTCCAGATAAAAGACTATCGTCATTCAACGACATTTGCAGTGAAACATGGAGATACCTGGCCAATGTCTTTGATTTATTTGCATCTTTTTTTTTATTTTTCAGTTGCGGACAAGATGACGATTTTTCGCTGACAACGAGTGACACTGACATCGATTCAAAAATTAATTTGAGCGCAAACACACGACACATTCGCACACTCACACACACCTAGGCATCAAACACACCCAGCGCTGATGCCTGTGTGTGTGTGTGTGTGTGTGTGTGTGTGTGTGTGTGTGTGTGTGTGTGTGTGTGTGTGTGTGTGTGTGTGTGTGTGTGTGTGTGTGTGTGTGTGTGTGTGTGTGTGTGTGCGTGTGCGTGTGTGTGTGTGTGTGTGTGTGTGTTTGTGCGCTAAATCAAATTGTTTATTGCTGTACCAACTTGCCCAACAACAAGTTCTTTTACCACACTGACAACAACGCCGTAATTTCTGCTAAACGAGCTCTTTAACGCTGTAGTCTTAATGCAAGAAAAGGTAAATGCTCGTGCGCTTTAAATTTACATTTTTCCTTTTGCTTATGTAAAAACGAAACATGACTGAATACCGAGTACCTACGTGTATGCTAGAAAATATTAGTTACTGAAACGCGCTAAAGACGACATTTTTTTTACCCCTATTTCATTCTCGGAATGCAACATCTAGTGCCTTAGAATGATGCAGTGTGAATGTGACACATTTGCAGGACCATGATTGGGATGTTATCTACTAGATATTTCTATGCATATTTTTCTTAGTGTGTTGTCAATATTTCTTGAAAAACCTATATTTATTTAAAAGTTACTGCCATTTTAGTTCTTTTATTCTCTTTTCTTTTTCCTTAAGGTTAATGGAAAATACTATGAAAGACACCTCTATCATGACATTGCAAAACAAGCTTCATTGCTTATTAAACCTCAAGCTGGAGGACATTACCATGTTGTAAGTAAATAGTCGTAATTTACTTGTGTTAGGCAGCCTATTTTTCAGTGTGCTGATTTAGGAACTCGGTCGGCTGTTTTCAGGCTGGCATCCTGAACTCCACACATGAAATTAGGCCTTCGAGAAGAAGTGAGTGGTCGCTCGCAGAACTTCCAGCGCATAAAATATCCAGAATTGTAACTGATGAAGCCCATCATGACGTCGTTGTGACAGCACGTGAGTTTTAGTTATTTTTAATTATTTATTTTGTTCAATGAGAAAGTGCCAGAGCATTAGTAAGCACTATTTGGCCCATAAGTGCTGGTTGTACGCTCCATGCGGCCACGAAAGTGCCAAATCGAAGCGCGTTGCGCGGTGCTGATTTTTGCTGGTTTGGCTTCAGAACAGACTGACAGAGCAATGAATAATGATCTTTGTAGATACATGATGTCGCCTAAATATAGGTCCCATATTATTTTGTTTTGACAAGATGTTACAATGAGCCTCAATAAAAGCATTTATTGCCTGTTAGAGATCTAAATGCCAGCATAATTTTTGTAAACTTTGTAGCTTTCTTTCCGCATGCAGTATACTCGGAGAAATACTGTCTTGCTTGAAGAAACACACCAAACTGTGCATGTGCTCACCGAATCACACTCGCTCGCCTTGTGTTACAGGAAGCGCTGAGCTAAAACCAGCAAGTACCTTTCAGACAAGTACGTTTTATTATCACTCAGCTGACATGATTGGTTACAGATGAGTACTAAAACGTTCTTTTTACTCTCTGTAGAATACAAGAAACCACTACCGAACAATTTTACCATGGAGCTTTTTTTCCTAAGTGACTTCAACCATACCCAGCCATTTAGATATGAAGAAAAAGAGCATGTGGAATACGTTTCAGTGCTTGTGCTTGCGGCAAGTATCAGTATTTTACTGTTTATTCCTGCAGTACCATTTTTTTACGGTAGTGATACATCGATGATTTGTTTGGATGGTGTTTGACAATCCGAAGTGTATCGGTAAAACAAGGGGTATAACATGCATAATAATGGATGGTATCACAGACTAAGGGCACGGATAAAAAAAAAAGCCCATTCAAGACACTACATCAGGCGTATTGGACTCAGGGCTACACACTATCTTACGCCAAATAATTGAATAAAAAATGATAGGCGTTACTTTAAGGGACAAAGAAAGTGAAGACTGGGTCAAGAAACAGACGATTGTTAAGGACCTCTATGTCCAGATCAGGAAGAATAAATGGGCTTGGCCAGGGCAGGCAGCATGAAAGCGAGATTGAGGAAGAAGGGAAAGAATGAAAGACAGGTAGGTGTAGCAGACGCGCGTTCGGTTTGCCATCCTACTTCGCTACTTATTAAGAGTACACAATAGATTCCAAAAGAAGGCGGGCAGCTGAGGGGCAGGTAGAACATTAGGTCTGCAGATGAGATTAAGTAGTTTGCGGGCATAAGTGGTCGCAACAAGCACGGGAATGAATTGATTGGCTAAACATGTGTGCAAGTAGTATGATGATGATGATGATGATGATGATGATGTTTAGTTCACATTCATTGAATTCAGAGGCCTGATTAACGACATTTCTATACTCAAATGTGCACAAACTTCTTGAATTCTGCTGACTAAATACACCTATTGTCGAAATTTTGCTCCAAGAACTCTGCTAACATAAAAAAAAACGAAACGGCAACCATCTCTCTGCAGACCTAATGTACAAATGAAACAACAAGCATGGGCTTCTTTGGTATTCTTCTTCAAAATATGCTTCCCCGTTAATAAAAATGTTTTGTTGAGCTAGAGATTGAAACCTGTGACTAGCTTTTTTCTAGGGCACCCAATACAACATCTGAAGCAGTGAATGATTAAAAAAATTCCTGCAAATTAATGGCCCAATTCGCTCCCCGCGTGTTGTTCAGTAGTCTTTACAGTTACACATTCGGATTCAGTCCGTCAAGGTGGACGCTTGGTTAGGGTACTCAGCTGCTGACCCCAAAGTCACGAGTTAGATCCAAGCCATGGCAGTCGTTTTTCAATTGAGGTGAAATGGTTGAGGCCTCCCTATTGAAGTGATCCGTATACGATGTCCAATAATTCCATATGTTTCCGTAAGAATCTTACAAAAATATATGGAAAGCATATAGGAAACATATGCATTCATACGCAAACATACGGAATTATTAGACATGCCATACGGATCGTTTCAATAGGGCTGTGTATTGTGTGGTGTCAGTGAACGTTACAAAACACCAGATAGTCAAATGTTTCGGAGTCCTTCTGTACGGCGTCCTTCAAAATCATATTGTGGTCTTGGAACACAAAACCCCACACATTTTATTATTATTACTCAGGTTCAGTTTTACAGTGATACAGATTCATCATCATCGTAGCTCGTTGAACAGTGCTCCTGTTTATCAGTCACTGGTTGATAAAACTGCATGTATCTTGAAATTTTATCAGTCTGGTGAGTCTATTTGTGCTTGTATTGAGAAAGTCAGGTGATATGCCACTTTGCACTCCAAGCCTAACAACACTGAAGGTGTTAGCAACATTGTTATGCGGTATGTGTGATCCTAGTTTTGTTCCATCCAACTCTCGCCTATGCTGGCGAGTGTAGAACTTTGAACGTGTTGGTAACATATAAAAATGTCTGTGAACAAGCAGCACAGCAACCTAATTGTAAAGCGCGACACGTCACACTCTCTTTCCAATTCACTGACGCGCAAATTGCCGGTAAAAGACTTGATATCAGTGCACACACAGTCTCCTACACCCTGTTTATTCTCTAAAAACTGAACTACTTGCGACTTTCGGAATCGCAGGTCAGCCTTCGTCTTCAAATGCTGACTCCCCAAGGCTTTATCACCTTGACGACCATTGTACGCACGATGAACAAGGTAAAGAAAATCTCTAAAAAAAAGCTTTTTTTATGCTCACAACAATGTGCACGCGCAGGCTCGTGAAAATTTTCTCGAATTGCGGAAAGATGGGAGGCTCAGTGCAGAAGGAACGCTGGATAATTTATCGAAGGCCATCCTGCTCGACAACAGAATGAAGCAAGCCGACGCTGTTTTCATGGCTACGCAGTAAGCATCTCTTTCTTACGTGTTTTTTGTTGCTTTGTGTGCTGTGGTACAACCATAGGCGTAAAAGCGCTCTCATTTGTTAGATTACAGGCGAAGTCGGTAACGCCTTAGCTGAATAACGTCTGCTGTCGGGATATTCGGTGTATAGGTCAACTTGAACTGATGGCGGCAATGTTTATACAGGAGCGAAGAAAACACGTAAGAGATGGTAAACCGCACACTCGAAACTAAATTTTATTCTTCTGAAGTCTTATTTCAAGAACCCTCAATCTTGCGCACAACGCTACAGAAAGCAAAATAACAATCTCTGAAAACACCACTAGATCAAAATCTACCATTCAAAAAAAAAAGACTGTACTGATTGTCATAAAGAGTTATAGAAGGAACGCTGATACAAAGATTGCCAGCTTTCTCTATGTACATAGCCTCAGCCCATTCCCGTGCCACCTTGTATTCCCTATTCCGCAAAAGGCATTCGTTGCCCAGCAGTGGTTTACACGTGCAAGCCTTGGAGTCACGTGGCAAGTGAGATTCGGTCTCAATCCTTATGGACAGGGTGGGCTATGCTAGTTGGTTATTAATACACTGGCCAGTCTGGCTGATGTCCATCCAGCCGAATCTCAACGGAATCTTATAAACAACACCAGTTGGACATTTCATAAAATGCGTTCTTTTTTGTGTGTTCTTTCCCACACTCAGGTCTTTCAGCAGAAGACACTCAAAAATGACACTTGACACTTTTAATTTGACCCAGGTCAAAGTAAAGGTCATTTATTATTATATTACACAATAAGATGTGGTTACAAAAAATATTCACACGAAAGTCCGAGAGTCGAGAACGGCAGTGCGACCCCCGGTTAATTATAGTTTACAAGAAGTTTGAAAGGGATAAACAGTGAGCAGGTAAACAGGAACAAAGACGAATAAAACGCAAGAAACACTAGAGATATTCAATAGTTAAAGCGATAGATTGAATCGCAGTGGATAAGTACAATAACTGAGAAAAAACTTACAAAACTATTTTGAACACAACTGCAGGAGCATAGCCAGGTAGTGGTACATCAAGACCATGCCTACTCCCCCCCCCCCCCTCTGTGATTTTTGCCAGGGCACAGAGAGCGGAAAATGAGCATTTAAAAAGGGTGCCATCTCGAAAATCTTAAACGTGCCTTCCCCCACTCCCCTCGAAAAATATTTCTGGCTACCCATCTGAACACAAGTGATCTATCGTGCTGATCAGAAAGAACCACTTCAGAAGGGTTGTAAGGTGAAGGGATAGGGTGTAGCCGGAACAATGTAACTTGCTGAGGAGTTAGGGCTGAAAGTTGGGTTAGTTAGTATCGTGATTAATTTTCAATGGTACTTGCGAAATCAGAGACGAGGCCGAGAAGAAGAAGCTAAAGTATATGCTCGTGCTTGTTGGTACGACATATATTAGAGGGAAACAATGTGAAAGACAAAAGACCAGGTGCTGTCATACGTGCTTTTTCCAGCCTGGTCTTTCGTCTTTAGCGCTGTTTCCCTCCAATATGTCGTACCAACATTCCCGAGCAACCACTTTAACTGCTTCTTTTTCTCGTCCTCGTGTCTTATTTCACTAGTACCATGCAATATTAATTACTAAAGAGGTTTCTCGTGAAAACGCGTAGCTTTGATTTGTTTCTTCCTCGTGGAGAGACTGTCACTTTTTACATATCTGTCCGGCGTATTCCGTAGTAATTACGGGCTTTGTACACAACTTCGTTCATCAATCCTATCTAATGTACCATGCTGCGAGCAAGCTATAAATATGAGCAGTTACACACATAAGCTATAGAAGTAGTTATGACAATATAATTATTTTGCTGGCGGACAAGTGCTACATATTTCCAGATAATGTCAACTGTACTGCCTATAGGTCTGTGTTTTCCTTATTTTATCTGCTTTGCGTGCAAAAACGCAAGTTCAATGAAATCAATTTTTATTGCAATAGCGTTTAAAAGCCGCGGTAACATTTTACCATGCAGATGGACTTCGATGATCATGATTACTTCCCAGAAAAAGCTGGTCGCGCGATACGAGATTGTGAAACAGCATACTTAATGGCGTGATTGCACTTCCCAATCAGCTTTATTAACTTGCAGTACAAATCTCACCGGCGTTAACATTCTCATAGCGTCACGGATACTCGACAGCAACGCGATTATACTTAACAAGAACAACAGTGTGAAACGTATACTTGCAATCATGGTGTGCGAGCGAACGTAAAAAATATAAACAAGGACAGTTAAACACTTAATAACTGCTCCATAAGTTCTTATGACTCACATCTGTGTACCTCTGTTTTCAGGAGACCTATTGTTTATAAAGACAAGTCTGGTGAGGACGCTGGCAATGCTATAGGTAACAATAATTTTGGGCACGGATGTTACGGAGTTTCAAATATTGCATCAATGTTGAAGGTATTACCGCGTGCATGATGGCGGTACAAGTACAGACTGGATTTTAAGCAAATGCCTCTTTTGATTTTAGCACTCCTATCGCACCATTTTGGTCAACAAGATTGAATTAGAGCTTAGGATTCACGTTTACAGCACCCATAGTTATCAACATTGTGCCTAAATGTTCACAAATATCTACAAATACCTACAAAAGACCACTTACAAATTCACCGCTTATACGAACCTTATTTAAGCTGAAGCTTTGCTTTGGGGCGCAGTTTGAGATAATTACTGAGGATATCGTGCAACATTGTCTCGAAACCTCAGGAACTGTACCTGGTCATCTGTAGTTTAACAAGCTCACGGAGAACAACCAGCAGAAATGAAGCAGGACGCGCTGGTCAGCACACGCCACTTGGCTAACGAGGGGCGAGCGGCTTGCGAAGGCAAAATAGCGGTGATCCGTAAGGGAAATGATAGTGAGAAGCACAAGAACGAAGATGTGCATGTAGCCTTCGTTTTGATTGTAGATTAATTTTAAAGTATTCATCACCAGTGGACTAAGATATTTTTCTACGAGGTTTGACTCTGCCCATAGAAGGTGTCTATCACTTTTGGTCGCTTAGCCGCTTAGCTATCGGCTCCTGTATTCTTTTCACAACCATTCTGACTAGTATGAGACCAAAGGTTATGTTGATTACAATGTGGGGATTGAACTCGTCGTGCTGCTGTATAAACTGAGACACTGTGTTCTGCAGAACAAGTGAGAAAAAAAAAACACTGCATTGTTATGTTTTACTGTGCATGCCTTTATGCCGTAATAAACAACATTTTCCTTTGTTTTCCTGTTGCGGATACTGGCCGCACATGTCCTGATTCGAAAATACTTGCATTTCTGTAAAAACGTTTATTGCGCCGAAGGCCTAAAGCGTTGTTTTGCCTACCTACTTTCTGCGCCTCAAACGGGCTTCTCAAATGCCTAAGAATCCGGGCTGTAGTTAGAGAGTAACACTAAAGATGCCCAGTGAATCAGTGTTGATGTGTTCCTTATATGTGGTGATTTAGAGCTGCAACGACGATATTAATACAGCAATTGCATAAGCAATGTATATCACCGAACACTGCCAATAGTCTTCGAAGGTTCCAGCCACTAATATCGCACTTCATAAGGACTATTCGACAGGTTCAAAGTCTTAAGGTTTTGTGAAGATGTTGTTCGACATGTCCATCTCCACCGCGGCAGCCATGTCCTGAGGCTAATTCTCTCAGGCTAATTGTTTAGTACACCTCTAAAAAACATACAAATGTTCACGTAAGGTCACTTGAATGTAGCTTAGAAGTACTTGTTGCGGGGCTAGTTATTTCACCATACTGAGGGTACTTCCAGACGCCTAAAACACCACAAGAAGAAAAACACACAGATAAAGAGCGAGTTGCGAGTTGACGCTCTTTCTCTGAGTGTCTTTCTTCTTGTGGTGTTTTAGGCGTCTGGAAGTTTCCTCAGTGTTACTTGAACGGTTCATTACAGTAAATGCTCGTTAATTCAAACTTCGGGGCACCGGGAAAAAATGCGCGAAATAACCAAATATCGAATTGTCGAAAGTTCAAAAAAAAAAACGAAGTGTCCATTACGTATGCACTTTCAGTTTTTTGGTGAATGAATAAATCATGTATTCACGTTGCAGCAGAACAGTGTAAAAGCCTCAATATTTGACATTCACGGCTTCTTTCCCAACACGACGGCAACTGAAGATCCCTTTTATTAAACTAAAAAGTGCCCTAAAACTATCCCTTATGACATTCCACCACCACCAAGAGTCACTAAGAGCTGATCATTTACGAAAGCCTACTGAAGTTAACCTACCGGTCTTGAAAAGGTTTTTTTTTAGTAATTGACAAGAAGACAAGCTTTTACTCGAACGAGGCATTCCACATCGTCAACATTTCTTTCCCTTTTATTTACACTTTCTGTATTGCTCCGAGCATTCAATTTTGACTTTACTTTCTTGCTATTGTCATTTATTTCGAATATATTATTGCTAGCAAACACCAACACCTGCCCTTTTTCAGGTTCATGCAGTTCTAGTATTTGTGAACATGACCATTCGTAGAGACCATATTGGACAAGAAAAGAACCGAGCAGCTAAACCGTCAAAGTCTGGCGCATTTCTTAGGTAAACGTGTGATCAGGGAAAGTAACAATCAAAGTAGTGCAAACAATTAGCACTTGCAGTACACTGTTAACGACGAGAATGGTCATTGATCGTCAATAATCAGTTTTGTTTACAAAGACACTTTGAAATTTCTACGTGCGTGATCATTGATTATTCCAACGCCATTTCAGTAACTCAAGCTACTTGCAAAATAAATTCAATTACACGCGTGATCTGCGTTATCTCATGAGAGTAATTGTGAAGGTTCCCATCAATTCTCATGAGGCTTGCAACAAATGAGGGCACTTTAGCAGCCAGGCATATACGGTAACAATTAAAGGAAATAAATTACGCGTAACATCGTATTGAAAGCCTCACTGTAACGGCTTATTTTGTGTTATTTTGTTATCAGTGCGTCGCAACATGCTGGAAAAGAAGTATATATTGAATGTTACTTTGTTCTTTCAAAGGAATGGCACGGCGGGGAGGTGTTTGCAACAAAGACAAGGTTGCATTTGGAAAAGACAATCCAGGCACTTATTCTGGAATACACACAATGGTTCACGAATTGGGACACTTGTGAGTACCCATCCAGTTGCTACGCCTGTAGCACATCACGTGCAATTTCGTTACATGTGAAACGGGGTTTATTGACGTAAGTTGTACTTGCACAGCAGGTCTATTGATGCGGAAAGCGGGCGGCAGCAACCGACGCAGGAATCACAGCGCTCGGGGGAACAGCTCGCGCTCGGCTCCTCTCGCTAAAGGCGTGACCCACTGCGGCACATATTCTTCTTCCTCCCTACAATACCCCGGCGACGAAGACGATTCATCCTGGCTAGTGAAGGTGACGAGAGTAGGAGTGGGTCGTGATGGGGCTTGAGACGACTCACGTGGACAGTCTCACGACCAAGGCATCGCCTGTCTGTAGATGGCGTGACCGGCTCGGTCACGTATGTGACAGGAGATCGACGTTCGACGACGCCTTAAGGACCGTCAAACTTGGGGGGCAAACTTAGATAACAGACCTGGGGAGTGGAAGGGCAGTCGGAGCCAGACGAGCGAGCCCACGGCAAAAGTATCTACTTGCTGGTCACGGTCGTGGCGGTCTTTTTCGAGTGCTTGCTTGTCCGAGGTCAATGATCGGGACAACTGACGACACTCTTCAGCGTGGTGCACAATTTCAGAAAGAGAGTTTAACTCTGAGACGTCAGGACGATACGGCAAAATGGTGTCAAGGGTGGAGCATGGCTCACGCCCATATATAAGAAAGAAATGCGAGAAGCCCTGTGGTTGACTGCGTCGCGGTGTTGTACGCATAGGTCACAAATGGGAAAACAACATCCCAGCTCTATTGGTCGGCACTGACATACATGACGAACATGTCTTCCTCTCTACACACGTGAGAATTCACAGTGGACGCCAGATATACAGTAATCACACGCACATTTGCGGTACTATGGGTATCAAACTTCTATGAAACTCTGCTGCCCGATTTTCGTGGAATGCGATCGATACATCTGACAAACTGAATTGAGCACCGAAATTCTTCGGTTGTGTTTGCCAGCAACCTGCCTTGAAAATACGACTGTGGCTTCTGGGTGGTGCTTTTGCTGCTGAGCTAAAAAAAAATTGTTTACTCATCATTGGTTGGAAAATTATGGTCCTCATGACGGCCTGCATTATAGTACCATTACGTTTTTATTTCGGTTTTTGACCGTCAATAACATTGAGTACCCTTTCCTTGAAGCTTTAAAGATAGTGCTGATTTTGAGTTGGGAGCGTCTGAACTTGCGGTCGAGAATTACTCCCTTTCCGAGGCACATTACGCAAAATGCATCCTAAGCACCAAACGACAAGTTTAGTGGACTACTTATGACTTTTATCGCACTCTAATAGTATTCACTGCATTATATATATATGTGTGTACAGTCAAGGGGGCATTTTGCTTGGTCAAAGGACGTGGGATGACCATGCATGCGAATTAACTATATAGTTATAATATGTCGAGGGTACAAGCTTACACATTTCAATTCTTTCTCATAAAAACTGAAAATACTAATGGCACATTCGACTGACCGTTTTCCAGCTGCTCCAAATGCTGGTCTATAGGCAAGTAAAATAGCAACTAAGAACTGCCGCGAAAATTAGCGGGCCAATAGCATGATCAAATAGGTGGAACATGGTCTCTAAAGCTGCTTGTTCTCGTTATGCAGCCTTAAAGCTGCGGACTTCAGGCATTTGAAATACGGTCAGAGCACTCTCAAATGACCACCCGACTGTGCCAGTACGCAAGAATTGAAAACTGGACATAATGCAATGATCCACACGCAGAGAAAAAAAAATGCTTACGCTAAGAGCTGAAGGACTCTACTAAACGTGAGGGTTAACTTCGTGTATTATAGAGCGGTGAGGGGTAAAAACTGCGGTAACTCTTTCCTATCCCAGTTAACCTTGTTATCGTAATATTCCTTAGAAAGCGTATTTTATAATGCTTGTACATAAATTGATATTGGCAACCGATTAGTGCGATGCTCCGTAATACGAACTTTGAGCGCTACTTTTCGCCCATTTCGTTCATTCCATGGCGGGCAACGGGCTTCTGCATTGGTGAATGCCAATTGCGAATATAGTGTCAACCCACATGCTTCCCTTCGCACCCTTGCAGTAAAAGTAAATTGTACCTACTGGGTGATAACGCTGACGCAAAATCTGCACTCAAGCTCAACAGACACACTACAAAAAAAAAGCATGTGTGTCTTCTCCTTTTTTCTTCATTTTTTTTTGTTTGGTGTCTTGTGTGTCTGCGCTGCTACTTTCGCAACGTAATCCTCAAGCTGTAACCGTAACGTCCGCGTTTCGTGTTGGCTAGCCTCTTTTGAACAAATAGCCGCAACAGCAAGGACCAAGAGAGAACGGAAAGGCAGAGATGTTAACCAGTCGAGAACCACTGGTCTGCTACCCTACATGGAGGACAGGGAAGGCAACATCGGTGTTGTGGTTGTGGCGCTCGACTGCGGAGCACAAGGTCACGGGTTCAAATCTTGGCCTTGGCGGCTGCCTTTCTGTGCAGGCGAAATGCAGACGACTGAACTTTTATGTATATGCACATAAAAGAACACCACATGGTAAAAATTTCGAAAGCCCCTACCACGGCATCTGTCATAATAATGTCGTTGTTTCGGGACATATAATCTTTAAAAGTTTAAAAACATTAATGAAACACAAAGATGTAAAATCTGTGACAGCTATTAGTTTACGCTTTTCTTGTGTGTATCTGTGCATTCTTTTCAGGTGTCCTTTCTTGTGCTGCTAGGGGTGAAGGCATTGATCAGAAGACGGCACTACAGGTTTACCAATTAACTGTACTCTCTTGCGTGATGTATGGATGCTTTGTCAGTCTTGAATGTGCCGCCTGCTTTAATGTCCCATCTGGAACGGGATCATCGTGTTGCCCTCCGAGTACTGTTTGGCTTACCTCGTGAAGCACAATCCATCCCGCTACTGACTGAAGCACACCAGTTGCCGCTAAGGCTGCAAGCTGACCAGAGAGCGCTACATCATAGCGTCTGAACCAAGCCCCATATGGCAAGACACTCCTTAACAGGCTGTTACAGCGCCCACTTTCTCGAATGGGTAAAATGGCGGCTTTGTTCAGTGACATTACTGGCGATTCCGGCGAAACTATTCAGTTGCCAACATCGACAGAGTACAGGCCGTGTACCTTCCATACCCATCTGTCAATTCCAGAAATACGCAAAAAGTGTAACCAACCTGTTTCGGAACTATACCAATTAGCCCATTCACACTTATTTGACAACTTTGAAGACTGTGTAAAAGTATTTACGGACGCTTCTGCACGCAGCGATGGCCTGGGCGCATCTGCAGCTTTCTTCTGCCCTTCAACCTATATCAGGCGGTTGTTTAAAATACCGCACCCCTTATCGTCGGTGACAGCCGAGCTAGCAGCGATTGATCTTGCCCTTAAGTACGTACAAGAAGAGTTACCAGCACCGAAGGTTGTCATTATCCCCGACTCTCGTGGTGCCCTTAGCAGACTCACCAGCAAGGAGACCGACAGCCCAATTCTGAGCAGCATCATGGAATCCATTAACAACACTCTGTCACGTGGGGTATGCCTAGCTGCACAGTGGGTACCTTCGCACGTGGCTATCGCGGGAATTGAAGAAGCGGATCGCCTTGCTTTGTCATGCAACCATGATGACTGTGACTGTCCGGAAATTCTATGTACGATGGACAACGCTCGTCTGCTTATACGCCGACGCCTCTTAAAGCAGCACCCACACCAGGGTGTGGCGAATGGATCGTTCCCTAGGAGACGCTCCCTGGATTTCGTGCCGACCGGTTGTGCGCCCGCGCGCTCCGCGCGCTCGCGACCTTCGGCGTCATCGTAGCGCTGGCCGACTGGGCTCGTCCTACGTCATCTCCTGTCGCCGACGACCTTCGACGACAGCGCAGCTCTGATTTACTGGTCCTGCTCTACGCCATCTACAGACGCCGACACCATCTCTCGCAAGTGTACCCCGTCCTCGGACTCCAGTGACCGTTCTTCCATCTTTCCTGTCTCTCCTATCCCCTCAGTTTGTTGTTGCTTCTTCTTCCTCTTTCCTATACCTTTACTTCTACCCTTTTATCCCTCCTTACCCCCATCCCTTTGTGAGCTCTGTGGCGGTGTCGCTCACTGAAGCAGACAATAACGGGGCTCACTTTTCCTTTCTCTCAAGAACCACTCAAGGATCGTTCCCTCCCCGTGTTCGTGGACGTGGCTTGCCTCGTAGTTCCCGAGCGCTGTTGTACAAACTAAGAGTGCGCTATGTGCTGGTGCGTGAACGATTACACCGTCAAGAGCGTGTGGACAGCCCGTTGTGCGCAACTTGTGGCTCCTGCGAAACACTTGAGCATCTCGTAGTGCACTGGCCCACACTTGCTACGCAGCGGTATTAACTGATTAAGGAGTATAAATTCCTGGGACTCAAGTGCGTGACTCTAGACGACTACCTCTTTCCGAGTGGTAGTGGTTCCCGACGCGACCAGGCCCACCGAGCTCTCCTTACATTTATGAACCAAACGGACCTGGCCACCCGTTTATAGACGGTCTTTTTTATTCTTCTTCTTTTTTCTCTTTAATTATTTTTCTTCCTTTCATTATTTTCATTTATTTTTTTACTCACACTTGTCAAAGTCTACGTCACTTTTTCTCCTCTTCCTCATGTTCTTTCCCCCTTTTCCCATCTAATCTTTGTTTCCTCTGTTTCTTCCCTCCCCGCGAAAGAGTGAACAGGCGTTGTGCCCCTCCAGGTGGCAGTTGCCAGCTTGCTCTCTCCCTCTTTCCTCTGTGTCCTTGTGTATCTGTGTATGCAAATCAAATAAATAATAAATAATAATTCCTTGTGCTACAACTTTGCGCTCTAGATATCATGCCGCCTGTCGTTATTCGTGTAACATTTTATTGTCTTGCTATTGCTTCCCCCTTCAGGCAAATCTCTTAACTTTTTCTCTTGCCACCCAATGTCCGCCCGCCAGCGTTGCCACTTGGCGGGCTGCCCCATGGAGGATTTGTCCCTGGCTCTCTCCCCAGTAGTTGCATTCAATTGAAAACTTTAATTTCTGAGATATCATTATTCTCGTAGGTTAACGCTGCGAACGGGTAAATTCTAATTTCATTTTTCATGCTACTACCTGCCCATCGCAGACATGAGGATTATGTGACTGCACTCTGTGAACAAAAAAAAATTCTGTATATTCATCACTATTGTTACGTACATACCTAGCGATATTTTTTTTTTTTTTGCAGACTAAGCTTGGCCCACGATGGTGAAAAAGGTGCAGAAACTTGCAAAGCACACCATGGTTACATTATGAGCCCATATCATGGTGGTATGCACAATAATGAGTGGTCGCTGTGCAGCAAAAATGCGATGAAAAATTTCATCCAGTAAGTTATTGCTTTTTCTCGGCAATCATGAAAATGTTTATGTGTGCCATTTTCGTTAAATTCTGGCGTGTGATAACACGTGCCATAATTTTATTCTATTCATTTATGCACACGCTAAAGTGAAACAGTAATTCAATTCATCCTTATATTTCTTTTTAAACTCTATTATGTTACTTTTTTCAATACACATAATATCGAAGAAGTGAAAGCTCTCTCGCCCAAGGTTTTCAGCGTTAATATCAGTGTAATAATAGAGACTTTTGAAATCTGTTTTTTACTACATTGCCTTAAAGAAAACTTCATGAATTTAAACTCCATAATGCCTTAGAAAACAATATAATTCAATTTTACCAATGAATAATAATGTACGCTCTCGCATACGCAATCGAAATGTATGACTTTACTGAACAGGTGCGATAAACTCACTGCTTCTATTTTATTTTTGGCTTATCAAGTGCATTGAAATCATCAAGAGTGGTAGTTTTCCATAGCACGAAAGAACAATTTTTAATATCAGTTCAATATTTTTTTTATTTTATTGTTGCTCCCACTTACTTTTATATCAACAAATGCTTAAATCTAGCCAAGCCATGTCATAATAATCATTTTTCATACTGAGTTGACTGGTGTGCACAATGATACAACTTAACAACCACGACCACAGAGATGCCCTGTGAAGATTTTTCTGGAGGTTATAGTACTTAAAGTGTACTAACCTTCCGGATTGAACCAGTTTTTTTTTTTCCCCCTTAAAAGCGCGTTTTTGTGTTGCTGCCTTTTGGAATATAATGGTGGTCTGATCAAAACTTGGAGAGTAACATCTGTGAATGCACCTGAAAAATACACAGCCAATCATCGCCGTGCAGATTGTTCAAGTTTTTTCTTGTTTGCCTCAATGTGTTTCAACTAGTTTTGTTAAATACAATGCTTTCAAATGCAGGTCACCAAAATCATCATGCTTAAAATACAATAAAGACAAAAACCATCATCCACTCCGTCTTAACGTGAAACCAGGGTCGGTCATCAGTGCAGAAGATTACTGCAAGAAGTTTTTCCCTGACCACAAGACCAAGAAGGTACATACAGCTCTGCATTTTTTGCATGAACCCAGTGTTGCGTTCTCGCGTTCCTACTTTTCATATTCTTCATTTTTAAAACAACCGATGTAAATATGCCATAATTGTTCTAAACAAATATTTTTTTCGTGCGTGCGTGTGTGTGTGTGTGTGTGTGTGTGTGTGTGTGTGTGTGTGTGTGTGTGTGTGTGTGTGTGTGTGTGTGTGTGTGTGTGTGTGTGTGTGTGTGTGTGTGTGTTAACACTGACCATGTAGCATGCACCACATTCAACGAACCCAGCTTGCAATCCAAATGAAAAGTTTCTCAGCCGCAGCGATGTTGTTGCAGCATTAAAGGGACACTTAAGTCAAATAACACTTTACGTCAGAGTGTAAGCTCAATGTATGTCAACATCTAAAATGACAATATCATCAACAACAGTGCCCTACCTATCCAGAAATTAAGGTAAATGCACAAGGACACAAGTGCCACAGTAGGACATTTTCAAAATGATCCCTATGACATCAGACGGACCACCTACAATTAATCACTAGTAATCGATCTACCTGCAATAAATAAAGAAGCTTCTGTGCATCAAGAGCTGCAGTAAAGTGCTGCTTGTTCATTTTTGTTTGATTCATGAAAAATAAAAACTGCCGGACGTTACTATGAAGAATGGCGCGAGTGGTTCAAAAGTTCCATTTTCACGTGGTTACACGGGACAGGTAGTGTCATCTCGCGGGGCGCAGTTGAAGCAAAAGTGCCTGTAATCTCGAAGCCAATGGAGGGAAGTTGATCAATGGCCGTTGTTGCTTCTGTGGCTTCCGCTGCTTTCGGTCTACTGCTACTAGTGCAGTGAAGCCAGGCAACGGTGCGCATGGCAACAGTGACGTGAGTCGGTCCAGTCGGTCCGCTTCTTAAGGCGGGTAATTTGAAGTGCGCTAACTCGATGCGGAGCACTAAAACGTGATTTTATTTCAAAATAGGCCCTTTCTTCGCACAAAAGTAACACTACGAGGTTTCTGGACTGCCATTTCAACAATGAACTTTGACTTAATAGTTGACTTTAGTGTCCCATTAACGCTGCTTTGTACCCGACCCGAAACACGAGGCTTCGATACCGAATGCGCTAGGTGGAATTCAAAGGAGGGGAAATGATATCAGCTGTTGCACTTATACTTTAGTGTGCGTTAAAAAACCCTCCGGTTCCTAATTACCGAAGCCCTCTACTACAAAGTCTTTTAGAATCACGTCATAGTTTTGAGCAATAAAATCCCCGAAACTATAATTAGTCATATGTACATTAGGTAACCTCTCGTATATTTTAAGTAAATAAGAACTGAATCCTGGACCTCAATTAATAATCACCTTTTTGCCTGTTCTGCACAATGTTCTCCAATATACTACAGGCGCTTTCGACAGACAACTGCTCGTTCCGCTGTATCTTCCAAACTTCATATAGAAAAACAAAAGAAGCAATTATATTTGCTCCAGACGGAACACCTTGTCATGCGAAGAAACATGAGAAGGTAATTACATTGAGATATCTTCTCTCCTGACAACCTACGACATTTTGCTTTTTGTTTTCTATTCGCCAAAACACACCTGAATTGTTTTCTATTCGCTAAATCACACCTGAACGATGGATTCCCGTCTGGTCGGGGACAAACATAGTGCAAAATAACAAAAACGCCGACCAAGGTGAAATACACAAAACTTAAAAAGACGTTTCGGCTCCCCACACGGGAGCCTTGTTCACAGTGACCGCACTACCTTTCGGCTCCCGTGTGGGGAGCCGAAACGTCTTTTTAAATTTTGTGTATTTCACCTTGGTCGGCGTTTTTGTTATTTTGCGCTCAATTCTTCTAATGTCTCATGACGACATTTTTTACACATCGATGTTCTTATATTGAGTGTGCATTGTGTACTCATCAACAGTTTATTTATATTTTACTTGGATGCTCGCCTAAGTGCATTGTTTGTTCCACTCCGTATTTACCAAATCTTTAGTGGCTGCAGTACTTAAAAAAAAGAGCGACTTGTGAATATGCGAGATATTTCATGCACAGTTTATCTCATAACAAGCTACTCTAGTTTATATTCTACCGTATATAAATGGCTCAGGTGAACTTTAAAAACAAACGACAACGCGTTTGCATGGCATAACACATGACTTTATATTAAATGGATAGACCTGATTGTCATAATCAGTGCTTACACTTACTTCATCTGGAGTGTTTTATCGATTTACTAAGTAATATCTGTATGAATGATTCAAAATTTTCACGTAGGTCGGAAGAGAACTTGCAACAATTTCTCAACATTTTACACTATGTCACGGTCAGCGAGCGCAACGTAAATTACGAGAACATGGCTGTGAAATTCGAGAAGGATGACTGCGTTTTTACTTGATTACAAAGGTAGCGAAAAGCTACATATATGTCACACACTGACAAGAGGCAATTCTTGGAATAGTATATTCAGGCTCCATTGGTGCGAAGTGACATGCGCGTCAGAACTTGGCGGTGATGGTCGAGGAAAGTGGTCTAGGTGCGCCTACTGTAAAAGGGTGATCGTTATGTTTACTTGCGCCTATTTCTTCAATGTGGCTCTTTCGATAAGAGCATTTCAGAACATTGTGGTATAAAAGGTAGTGAAAATCAATAACTTTAAGAAATCTTCCAATAGACTTGGTAACAATGTTGTGTACCTCTACTCCAAACGGTTTCGTCTTCATAGATTAAAAATGAAACCCCAAGGTGTAGAGGAAATCGGTACAGAAAGATAGGTCAGCTTTCGTGTGTCACCTTGCTTTTTGTCGCTGTGCCTTGATAATTTCATCGCTTGTCTTGATCACGGAAATGATACCGCTGTATGCTGGTGCACAATTCCCTTGTGTTGCCCATGCTTTACTGCAGTTGACCACCTGCAGCATGCAGTGTGAGCCGCCTTATGTGGCTGTTAGATGGGTAAAATCAAGCGACACCACAGTTATTTGCCCCACTTAATGCCGCAATATTCATGGCAAAATAGTGTTAGCTGTCGGTCGCGAATTTAGCGAAGCGAAAAAAAATTAATTGATAACTGAAGCCAGTACAGTACATAACACCATAATATGGCGTATGTGCCGCATTATTAGTCTCTCTTTGGGAAGACCAAGCATGATTAGTTTTCTTGGTTCAGGAGCAATGACGGACCAATCTCTTTTTGCCTGCACTCACTTTTGGTTAATGATAACGATAAACACTTACAACTTGAAAAAAGAGCTAGCTAATTTTGAGAAATAGAGGCTTGCGGGGCAAAGACTGATATTCCTTCTGTTCTGTTTTTCTTCCAGAAGTGCAAATACGGATTTTGTCTGTAACATGAACAGTAACTAGCTCGTTGACACCTCGATGAGTGGGGAACCGATACTGTATATACTGATTCAATTTAATTAGAGTACTGTAATCAACTGTGGGAACAGCAGAAGCCTTAATCCAGCTTCAGCAGATGCATATCTCTGGTGCTGTAATCGTGCAAAGTGGAAAAAAATAATGACACCATAAGCAAACTAAATAAATATTTAGTGAAACATTGCATACGGTGGCTATTATGTCGTTCTTTTGTTTGCTGTTGTTTCTTCGTTCTGTCCGCCAGAGTCAGAATCGAGTTTTATTCACGAAACCATAACAGTGTAGCTTTTCGGACTTGTTGGTACAGTATTCCTGAACCCCCCCCCCCCTTTTTGTGTGTGTGTGTGCGTGTGTGTGAGCGCAAAACGTTATAAGGGACAAAAATGAAAGGCACCTCTTTGTTTTTTTCCTAAAACGTTATGTGAACAATAAAACAATTCCGAAGCACTCGACTAGAGATGCGAAGTAGTGACCCCTCAACACCGAGCGCACTTCTTTAGACAACCAAACCTCGTTCCATGCTGGTGGCGGCGTCATAACGACGAGCTACTTATGTAGACCATTTTCCCTTGACGGTACGCTGTTCTCGGGGGCGCTTGAGCATACGACGTGCCTACTTTTTTTTTTTTCATTGGAAAACTGCTCCCGAAACTTTTGTGATTGGCCTACCTAGCTTGGCAGCACTTGGGGACATCGCACAATTTCGGCTAAGCCTAACCTGATTTGTCCCAAGTGAACGCTCCCAAAGGTCCACCAAAAGTGGCGACATAATGAAAGTCGTACTGCGAATTCTTCAGCGCAGTTCGTTCCCCTCGTCAGCAACCATTTGGACACGCCTCTCTTTTTATGCTCTGCTGCTTTTCGAAATAAACTTCAAGTGTAAGATCAGCGCTAGTCTGTGTTCTCCATAATGCTTGTCTTTTGTTGCGCTGTTGTCAGTGTAATGACTGCACCATTTAGGTATTATTCTGTTAACAACATATCGCAATGTATAGACGTTTCAAGATAACAACCCTTCCCCCTAATTTTTCAGAGCCCTTAATGGTGCTTCTTGAGGATCTCGATAAGGCACTTACGTTACATTCAGTCTTTTAGAGTGTGTGCTTGCCTCCTAGTTTGCAATAAAAATGTGCGGAGATATATGTAGACGCCAACCAAGATTGAAACAGCCCGTACTTATGCATATGTTAAGTGACATGTTTAATTAGGAAATCAATTGACGTACTGACATTTGCCGACGCATACGCCAGCATTCCATCTACGCCATTGTTGCGCAAAAAGCTGCGGTGTCCTTGTACATGATACTCAGAGCTTGTGTGATTAGCTTTAGATGGAAATCTTGTTAAGTGTAGTAAAGCTTTTTTTTTTTTGCAGTTAAATATGTACAAATATGATAGGGCGCTGTGGCTGGTTTAGATGTAGGATATCCTGACTTGTGTTTAGATTTATCTTGACTTGTCTAAGATCAGCATAGACAATTCTAGTTTTATGGTGGCCCCGAGTTTTGTTTTTATTCCATTCAGCTCTTACATGAGGTAATCAACTTGACACGTGCGTCAAAATGGCCGCCGCAATCATTCGCACATCACCTGTCGGTTTCTGCCCGCCTTCACATCCTACGACCTTTCACACAAGCCAGCACTTAGCATTTGAGTTAAAGCGTAGCGTAGGCAACCGACTATGAAGTACATGACATCGGCTTTTGTTTTAACAGTATATATAGATGACACTCACTACAGCTCCGACTGTTCGTTGATATGAATAGCGCCGCCTTCCTAAGCGATCACGAGGTTCGCTAACTGAACTTTGTCGTAATGCGCTGAGTATCAAAATGAATTTTTGAACTCGGATTAGTCAGTAAGGTACACTGAATTCGCAAGACGTGCTAGCCACAGCAGTAGGAACATCAAGTTTTCATTTCCACTTGTCGCAGGGCATATGCCAGTCCTGTGCACTTCCCGAATGTTAGTTAGTCTATGCGCGTCCACTACTTTTCCCTCTACCGGCAGTGCCTTAGCATGAATCGAGTAAAATCTTTTTAGAAATCCTAATTTAGAATTGCTAATGATGCTTGTATTTGATAAATGCTTATTTGTAATAAATACCGGGACAATGTGGGAATAATAGTGGTCAGTCATACAGATCGCACCATGTATTGTAAAAATGTGAAATAAGTTTTCCAATTTTATCAGCAGGAAAGGGGGTGGGAGGACAGAGCTTGAAGAGGAGGTTCTGAAAATATTAATTGTGCGGTGAGACGTTTTTTTATTATAATTAGCTTAGCGCACAGATGAGTATATAGTATTTTACTGTCACATTATACAAGAGCCAGTTTAAATAAGGTTAGCGGGGCCAACTGATATATCTCAAACACTCAGTTCTGTCGCAGCTTCACCAGATGCAAAACCATACGCTACAAACTAATAAATATTCATTTTAGCTTTTCATATTCAGGCATGTTCTTGGTTGTTCAACTAGTTCCTTAATGTGAGCACTGAAAATGTCAGTATCTTGAGGCAACCATAATTTCTGAGAAAGAAACTATTTTTCTTTGGAAACTTACTGTACGATGTGTAAGAGACAGTGCAAACAAAAAACATTTCTCGCATAACGTTTCAAGGCAGGGGCTTCTGGAACGCAGAAAGTGGGTGGTATTTGCGCACGTTACGATAACGATTTCATGGCGTGTCTTGAAAGCATTTATACCGTGTGCGGCAAGCTTTAGACAGGCAGTTCTAAATGGAAATTTTTCATGTAGCAGGCTTTGTCTAGAGTCCTCTGATGTGTAAGCAATTTGCTTAGTTTCTTGGTTTCAACTGTCATGTGCAATATCCTCTTCAACAGCGATGGCTACATTTGTTTTTGCAACTCGTTTTATCATAGTCATGCCAACCTGTTAAGATAAAAGGCAAGTTATCTTGCTTATTGACAAAAATTTAACCTTACCCATACTCAGTATGTAATGATTAAGCCTCAGTAAGTGTAGACGATCACTTTCGTGAAGGCACTGGATGATAGACAGGTTCTTTGACATGCAGTGTTCTGAATACCACATGAAAAGCCTTCCTTTCTTTTTGTCGAGGTGAAATAAGAAAAACCTAATTGTGTACGCGTATAATTTCACTCATTTTCAATCAAAATTGGGAATGGCTGACGGCAGGAATAATAAATAGTATATTACCCGGTAATTACTAATCATTACTTCTATTGTAATGGGTGCATTTAAATCTTGCTACGAGAATTCGACCCGTTCTTAAACAGTGCACGGTAACTTGAGTTTGAGAGAATATGATTCTATTCAAGCGGTCAAGCGCACATAGTTTAGTTTATTTTGAGTTATAACGTTTCCTTAACATTTAACAAAGGCATATGCCTGACATAATGCGCGTGTGAGGTGTCCTAAATGTCCTCAAACCTATTGATCTAATAAAACGGGCAATGTAGCCAATTGATACTCGTGCGAGTATGACTGTTTCTTAAAATGTTTACGAAGAGAAGCAGATTGTTAAGAATCTGTTGGTCAGAACAGGCGTTCTGCTAGTCATAGAAGACGCACAGGAACACGAACAAGTCTTTACCTGCACGCTGTAACTACTCCTGTTTAATGTGATCTTACACATACTTACACACTCACGTATTGATAAGCAACATTGCTTTCTTTTAGTGTGACGACTGCTTGGAGCAACTGTGCATGATAATCACTTCTTGTCGCTGAAGGTCCTGGCCACAAAATATATTATCAGCTCTGACGTACGTGTTCGAGTTAAGATTATACTGATACGGCATGAAATGTAGCTTCTTGAAATCAAAGAGCACGCATTACTAAGCCCTACATTTACGCGTTTGAATCCGTGAATTTCGTACCTTTGACGAAGGGCTTGTGGGGAAGCAAAAAAGTATCCTGCAGTGAGAAATATATTTTGAGAACAGAAATTTTATTGCTGCAAAAACACCTCCCCACGTTGGCGCACCCGATATAGGTATCTTAGGGCAAATAAATAGGAATAGCCTGTTTTGAGCCGCCTCAATACCTTACGAAGCTCGTTCATCCTTTAGGATATTTTGATTTGTATCCAGTAAAAGCTTCTAGGCTGGCGTCAAGGATCACTTAGTTCATGAAAAAAAAAGGCCACTCTTTTCGGGCACAATTACAGTAAAGAAGGCTCTTATTCCATCGTTTGCTCACCCTCTTTCATTCGTTACTAACGAGGAGTAGCTCGAACAAGAAAGCATCACAGTTTACCCCAAAGTGTTCTAGGAACGATATGGAGTGTCTGAGAAACCGCTTCTCGTACATCGTTGATATTCACTACAATTAGAGAAAGCTTCAGTTCTCGCTGATACTGTCCAGGTGCGAGATGCAACAGACAATGGGGTCCTCGAGTAATACGTGAGTAGACGTATTTCAGTCAGTTCACATGTTATTAACCACTGAGGTAACTCAGTCTAAGTATCAGACACCTCGAGTGTTCGACCTTAGAAGGTGACGACTACATTTCAATGCAGCTGCTCCAATAGATACTCACGGCCAATATACTAGTGGATCTGGCATTTTCTATGTGGGAAGACGTCACCGATCGGGAAAATTGTACCGGCGTCCGCCGCTACAATGTGACTCCTAATTAGATCGCAGTGTCTCAGAATCGCCTCAAAGTACCATTTACGAGCTTGACGTTGACAACTGTGAAGTTGGTGAAGATATCGAAGAGACGTTATTACACAGATCAATTAATCTTCGTCGTAGCAGGTCCGTAATAATTGCACCCTCAAGTCAATGCAAAAATACATGACTAAATGAAGCAAAAATAATTTGCCTTGGGTTCTAATATACAAGCTTTATCACTGTTATTGGCGTCTTCCAGCGCTGAGAAATTTATATCACGGGGACGCAGAAATAGGCTTCAGAACAAAATCAAGCAAAATATTAATCTACTGACCATTTATCCTCTTCGAACCACAGCTGGAATTTTCCATAAATACCACTGCAACTCTTGGACTAGTCGTCTCTCATTTGAAATTCCTTCGCGCACATCACGTCCTCTTCGTGATCATCTCAGTTTCAGACGCATCTTCGGTCACACACTGCCATTCCATAACTCTGCTTTGCCGCGTGCCATCGCACTTTGAAACAGTCTCCCTGATGAGATTGTTTCATTAAGAGAGCCTGTGGAATTTCCGCAGGA